GTCCCAGGAGGGGGCAGTCAGGGGACAAGGAGTGGGGGGGGGTTTGGGGGGTTCTGAGGGGGGCAGTCAGGGGGCAGGAAGTGGGAGGAGCAGGGCTATGGTGGGGCTCCCACCATCCTCTTTTTTGATTGTTGAAATATGGTAACCCTAACATACACTTAGCAGAACAGTAAGCACATCAACCCCAGCAGACACGGAAATGGATTAATATCAAGTCCATGTTGTGAGACTACTTCAGAGTTAGCAGTTCAAACAGAAACAGGCAGACCCAATTTTGCATAAACTCTCAGGGTTAAGAGGATAGCTTTTAGAAACAGCAGAGTTCAGCCCCAAGGTGAGATCATTAGCGCCGTCAATCGATTAAAAAAATTAATTGTGATTAATCATGCTGTTAAACAATAAAAGAATACCATATGATCTGTGACGGGGTATACCAGATCCTCTGAGGCCCCCTATTGGAGGCCTTGTGGCCGTGCCACACCCTGCCCCAAAAAAGGGCAGTGGAGAGGGTCCTCCAAGCTGCCTAGAGTGGCTGGGTGGGACATAGCCAATCAGGGCCCAGCAGCCTAGTGTAAGAAGAGCTGAAGGGCCAGAAGGAGTTCAGTTCCTTCGTGGAGCTGTAGGAATGTGGCTGGCTGAGGGAGCTGAAGGCCCTCGGACAAGGTCAAGCTGCCAGAAGCCAGGGAAAGCGAGAAGGAACTCTGAGCCGATTGTGGGGACTCCATCAGGACAAGCCCTGAGATAAGGGTGAAGACGGCACAGGGCCGCAGGGAAGTGGCCCAGGGAATTAGAGCAGCAGCACGACTTAGATAAAGGGACACAGCAGACAGCTGCTATCTACAGGGTCCCTGGGCTGGGCCCAGTTCCCCCCTCAATCCCCATTAGCCACTGGGGGAAGTGGCCTGGACAGTGAAGCACCCCAAAGGGGAGGACTGAACTATAGTGGCCCAGCTGGAGAGCTGTAGCCAGGAAGCCCAAGAGGGCGAAGACCTTGTCTCCAGGGAGGGAGCCCTGGGACACTGCTCTATCCCAGAGCAGGGGCAACCAGAGAGAGAGAGAGACAGCAGGCACACACATGTCCCCAAGGGGGTGCTCACAAGGGGTGAGTGCACCCCTTTACATGCTCTTACAGTTAAAAGGAGTCACAAGGGAGTACTATTACTGGGTGATGGCCTATTCATGCAGGAGGGAGTTGCCACCCCTATCTGGTCAGCTGTCAAAGTAATAGAAGGTTCTCTGGTATACTACTGCCCCATCCCAGAACAGCCAATGGAAAACCTTTTAGAGAGAGCTACAAACAACTGAAACCACTTTTGAAGGTAAAGAAGGGACATTATAAGAGACAGGGACTGTTCTGTCTATAAAGAGAGACCAAAGGCTGTTTCAGTATAACACAGAATGGAGAGAGGCCCCCTGGATCCTCTTACTGAGGAGCCATCTTGAGAAGTGGAGGTGTCCTCACGAAAAATTGAATCCTTGGTCCTATGAAGCCAGTCAGCTCTGCAACAGACTGAACTTTGGGGGGAACCTACTTTATTAGGCAGGAAAGATCTATTAAAAAGTGAAGACTCAGGTTCATGTCTTATGATTTTGTTTTGTACTTTAATCATTTGTTTCCATCACTCCCTCTTGTTTCTAGTAGAATCTCTATCCTTTCTGAAATAAACCTTCTTCTGTTTCATTATAAGTGCTGGGTGGTTTACAGGAGCAGTGATTTAAGGTAAAACTGGGATACACTGCACCTTTGGGGACAGAGAATCTGGGATTTGTGTGAGGAAGCAGTGTCAGGGGCTGGATATCACAGGAGAATACTTAAAAGGGACTTGGGGAGTAAGACGCATCTATTGTTAACATACAAGGCAAATGCACGGCTGGCATAGCCCAGAGGAGAATGCTAGAGTGGCTGGTTGGGTGGTGGTGTCAGGGAGCTGACACTCAACTAGGCACAAGCAAGATTCCCTCACTCTCGAGGCAGAGGGTAACAAGATGACTCACAGCCCTGAGTGCCCCAAGAACCATCACAAAAGGTAATAGCATTGATGTAATATACTAAGACTTGTGTAAGGCATTTGACTCGGTACTGCATGTTATTTTGATTAAGAAATGTGCATGGTACCAAATCAACATGGTACATATTAAATGGATTTACAACAGGCAATCTCAAGCTGTAATTGTTAATGGAAAATCATCATCAAGTGGCTGTGTTTCTAGTGGGGTCCTGAACGGATAGGTTCTTGGTCCTAAGCTATTTAACATGTTTATCAATGACATAGAAGAAAACAATCAGGACTGATAAAGTTTGCAGATGACACAAAGATTGGGGAAGTGGTAAAGAAGATCACTGCTACAGAGTGATCTGGATCACTTGGTAAGCTGGGTGCAAGCAAACTATGTGTTTTAATACAGCAGATGTAAAGTTACACAGTAGAACCTCAGAGTTATGAACACCTCAGGAATGGAGGTTGTTCATAACTCTGAAATATTCGTAACTCTGAACAAAATGTTATAAACTTTTAAAGAACAACCAGACCTTTTCTAATCTTTTTTTCTAAACTTTCCCTTTAATTTTTAGTAGTTTACATTTAACATACTACTATACTATATTTGCTATTTTTCCATCTCTACTGCTGCCTGATTGCGTACTTCTGATTCCAAATGTTATGTGTAGTTAGTCAGTTCCTAACTCTGATGTTCATAAGTCTGAGGTTCTACGGTACACGTAGGCACAACAAACATAGGCCTTACTCACAGGATAGGGGCTTCTATCCCAGGAGGCCGTGACTGAAAAAGAGTTGGAGGTCATGGTGAAATAAACAGCTGAACATGAGGTCCCAGTGCGACGCTGAGGCCAAAGGGGCTAATGCAATCCTTGGATGCATAAATAAGGGAATCTTGATTGGGAGCAGAGAGGTTGTCGTACCTATGTATTTGTCACTGGTGTGATGACTGCTGGAATACTATGTCCAGTTCTGGTACCCACAATTCAAGAAGCAGGTTCAGAAAAAAGCTACAAGAATGATTAGAGGACTGGAAAATACACCTCAGAGTGGAAGACTTAAGGAACTTAATCTATTTAGCTAAACAAAAAGAGAGTTAAGGGATGGCTTGATCAGTTTATAAGTACCTACATCAGGAACAGAAATTTGATAATGAGCTTTTCAGTCTAGCAGACAAAGGTATAACAAGATCCAACTGCTGGAAGTTGAAGCTAGACAAATTTAGACTGGAAATAAGGTATAAATTTTTAACAGTGAGAGTAATTAACCATTGGGACAAATTACCAAGGGTTGTGATGGATTCTCCATCACTAGCAATTTTAAAATCAAGATTGAATGTTTTCCTAAAAGATCTACTTTAGTTCAAAGAGGAATTCAAGGAAGTCCTATTGCCTGTGTTATGCAGGAGATCACAGCAGATGATCACAACGGTCCCTTCTGGCCTTAGAATCTATAGTAGAACCTCAGAGTTACAAACACCAGAGTTACAAACTGACAGGTCAACCACACACCTCATTTGGAACCGGAAGTACACAATCAGGCAGTAGCAGAGACAAAAAAAGCCAAATACAGTACAGTACTGTGTTAAACATAAACTACTAAAAAAAAAAGGGGGGGGGGAGTTTAAAAAAAGATTTGACAAGGTAAGGGAACTGTTTCTGTGCTTGTTTCATTTAAAGTAAGATGGTTAAAAGCCACATTTTTATTCTGCATAGTAAAGTTTCAAAGCTGTACTAAGTCAGTGTTCAGCTGGAAACTTTTCAAAGAACAACCATAACATTTTGTTCAGAGTTACAAACATTTCAGTTATGAACAACCTCCATTCCCAAGGTGTCCATAACTTTTGAGATTCTACTCTACTAATCTAGATTTCAGCTTCTGCCAGAGAAAAACTGTGAAACTTAATTCCTTAAGGAACAGTAAAAGAAATGAGAAAGTCTACCTCCCAGCATAAAAAAACCAAACAAACCCACACCTACCAAAACAAGACACTCCACAGCACATAATTCTCTCTTGGGGAGAGGATGAGAGAACAAACAACACACGAGAGATGTATACTCGCATTGCTTAATGCACTACTAGAAGGTGTTCAGATACCACAGAGTTAAGTGCAATACAAAACCCTATATAGAAGACAATAGCATCACAAAGATTGCAAACTCCAAGTAACACTGGGCTGATGCCAAAGCATAATCAGTATGGAGTGAATCATGTTAGCAGCTATACATACAGGACTGAAATAATATATAAAGGCCATCATTTTCAAACTTCGGGGCCTAAAATTTGCAGTCTCAATAAGTGGCCTGATTTTCAGAGATGCTGAGTGCCTGTAGCTCCTATTTATGTCAATGGGCACTATGGGAATTCAATGACCTTTGGTGCCTATACATGAATTTCAAAAGCACCTACACACTCCTAAGTCATATGTCCCATTAACTTTGACTTAGGGGCTTTTGAAAATCCCAACCCAGGGTGGTCAACTTTAGGCATCTATGTTTGAAAATTTGGAGAGCAAAGACTAATTAAATTGTTCTGAAAGCTATTTCCAAATCCATGGACCTGTACTATGTGTTATTTCCAATCGAAAAGAGTGCTGCTTGAGATGAACTGAGGTAGCTAAAGAGGAAGATGAAAGGAGGAGTATAAAATTACTAGTATGGGAGCAACTATGCTAAAACTGGTGTTAAACCTCTGAGCATGCCCAGTGTGTGGTAGATGCTTTTCAGAAGACTATGCAGACTGACTGAATTGAAGGCTCATGAGGCTAATAATGTGCTTGGCCTGTTCTCCTGATCAACTGGACTCCTGGGAGCTTATTAAATATATGACAGTCTGAAGCTACACAATGGTTCTCTAGGATAGCTCCCTAAGTTGGCCACTGTGCAACAGCCCAGTCTCCAAGTGACATATCACATACAAATAGGAAAACTGGAGTATACACTGGTCACTTTGCAGTTTCCTTATTTAACCACGAAGCAAGCTCTCAGCACTTGCTCTTTACCCTCCACTGACAACATTCCAGCTCCTGATTTACCTTCTGGCTCCATGCCTTAAAAGGAGGCAGATTTCCCTGCCTCAAAGCTGTTCCTGTTTTCTGACATCTTCCTCTACAAGGAGGGTAAGGAAGAAATAGATACCTACCTTTCCATAACTGTTCTTCAAAGTGTGTTGCACATGTCTATGCCACTGTAGGTGATGCCTCATGCACAGATGTCAGAAATTTTTTCCCCTCAGTGGTACCTGTCAGGGTACCTTGAGTGCCCTCTCTCACTTTGCACTACTGTGTGCTGGTGTAAGAGTGTGGAGCTGCCCCGGGACTGTTCCGATATTCAGTTGTTTGTCCTGCGTCCCGACGGATGTATGGTCGGGACGCCATTTGTCCCGATATTTTGGCTCGGGGCACTCCGTTTGTTTTTTGTTTTTTTTGCTTTGGCGGCGCTCCGGCTTTTTTATTTATTTTTTTTGCTTTGGCCCTGCCCCCTCATGTGTCCCAATATTTTGTTCTTGTCGTCTGGTCATCCTAGCTGGCCCTGGGACATAGCTTAGAGGGCCTAACTGAGAGTTTAGTGACTTTAATTGGAAGATAAACTGAGGAAAAAAAACCTGTTACAATGACAGGAGAATTGGGCTCAGCCTGGTGAAGGAGTTGCCTCATGTTACAATGGCTCATCTAACATCAGGCTCCCTGCTACAGTGAAGATATGAAAATTGCTCTGTTGACTTCTCCCCCCCAGACACCTGAGCTGAACCTTTTTCTGCAGACAGCTCATTCCAAGAAGCCAGGAGTCCCCATCCTAGAACAGAATAAAGGTGAGTGAAGTACAAATCCCTCATGCACTATTAATGCAAGTAGCAAAGATAAATGAAAAGGCTCTCATATTTGCTCCTTTGGGCATAAGTAAGGCTATGTATAAGTAAGTCATGGGTATTTTTAGTAAAAGTCATGGAAGGTCACAGGCAGTAAACAAAAATTCACAGCCCGTGACATGTCCATGACTTTTACTATATTTGCCTGACTAAAACTTGGGGGGAGGGGAGAGGGCTTGGGAGGGCGGCCCTGGGGGCACCATGGATGCTGGGGGGAATAGCCTGGGGGGGCGCCATGGGTGCTGGGGAGTGGGGGGGGGGGGTTGGTGGGGCTGGGGCAGGCTCCCTACCTGGCTCCTAGGAAGCGGGGACCCCAGCTCCTTGCTCCACGTGCTGCAGAGGCTGGGGGAGGCTCTGCCCCAAGCCCCGGTTCTACAACTCCCATTGGCTGGGAACTGCGGCCAATGGGAGCTGCAGAGGCAGTGCCTACGAGCGGAGGAAGCAGGTGGAGCTAGGAGCTGAGGGAGGGGAGTTGCAGTTGCCAATCCAGGGAGCCCCCGCCCCAGGTAAACTACTATTGCTGGGGGTTGGGAGGAGCCAAGACTGCCCCAGCAGCAGCCAGTGCACCTGGCCCGGGGGCTGCCCGAGCTGCTCAGGCCGCCCCCCAGCCAGGCGCACCGGCTGCTGCAGAAGTCATGGAAAGTCATGGAATCTGTGACTTCTGTGGCTTCCTTGACAAACATGGAGCCTTAGGCAGTTCAGGAAAGATTTCCCCCACTCCCTACTCTGCATTGCACAATTGCCCAGCTGTGGGCATTTCATCTTCCTTTGCAGTATCAACTATCCATCACTGTCAGAAGTAGGACACAGACTTTCATGGGCAATCACCTGATCTGGGTTGGTAGATCCCGATTTCCTATGCTAAAGAGAAGATATTTTATCACCTTCAAGAAGACTCTTACTTCTGCCTAGACACCTGTGTTATGGGAAACTTCACCAGTCAGGAGACAAAAGGTATCTGCTGCTTAAATGCACAAGTTTCCCTCCCAAACCCTTTACCTCTTGCCTGGCATTTTCAGCCCTAGCTCGCTCCTCTTCTTTCTGAGATTGCATAGTAGCAGCCTCCTGCTTCAGCTCCAACAGTTTCTTCTCATAAGCACCTTCTGCTTCTGCTTTCTCTTGGGCTGAGAGCTCCGACACCTCTTTCAGCTCTGCGCGGTGCCATTCCTGCTCACTCTTCTAACAATCAGAAAAAGAGCCATTAGGTGCTTCAGACTTAGGCCACCTCCTCCTATCACAGCTTGCTGATATGGCACCAGCCAAAGGCCCAGGTCAGAGTTCCCTCCACCAACATGAAGCATCAACAGCATACACATTATTGGCAGTGCTGTAGGAAGCAGTTATTTTCCAAGGGGACTCCTAGTGACCTTGGAGGGGAAACTGCACCCCGCCTCCCTCCACCTGCTGCCCTTCCCTCCTGTGAGGATTCTCTCCCTCTGTTCCTGTAGGATTTTCCGTATCACCATCCCCAGTATTTGCTTCTACTCTTATTTCCTGTGATCCCAGAGCTTAATTCAACATTTTGATTAATGCATAATAAGCACAAACTGCATACAGAATGAGGAGACCCGCCCCCATGACTCAGGCTGGGCCAGACAGTGTGAAGCTATTCCATGGCTCCCTCAGCCAAAGTCCAGCAGGAAAGGAGCACAGCTTCCTGCAGCTCTTCTGAGGCTCCTCCTGACTTCTGCATTATTACACCCTCTGGGCAACCCGCTGCAAGGTGCCAGAGCCTCAGGTGGCTGTTTCATATCAATCTGTGAGCCTGGGCACAATTTCAACCCCTGGCTGTCAGGCCTTCTGAACATAGTTGATTGCAGAGCCAGTCCCAGGGCCCTCCTGAACTTGGGGCTGGATGTGGTGCCCCATGGCAGGTCACATAAAAGCAGCAGGGAAGAGCCTGAGAAAGGAGCCTTTGCATACCTGCAGCAGCCACTTTCAACCACTGCTGCCTGGCCCCAGCAAGGCGTTGAGGAGGAAAGGTACTCACGCCTATCACCACCAGCCACTGTCACCAGCTAGGTGCTCCCTATGCTGCCTTGACCAGAGGAGTGACTTGATCAGGCATCCCCAACTAGCCATGTACGCAGCATGTTACCAGTAGCAAACCATAAAGCAACAGTAGCCACAAACGGCATGCATGAAATCCCTCTTCACATACACCAATTGCTGACTAATTTCAGGTAACTGAGCCACTGGGAAAAGTCACCATCTGTTTGTGGGTGCAGGGGATGTGTAAAGAGTTTTATGTGTCTAGTTCATCCTGCCCTACTGTTCTTGGGTGTCTATGCTGAGCAATTTCTCCTTCCATTGCCCAGTCCTGATCCCACACAGTGTTGCTCCTTAAGCACTGGATAAATAAACTGCAATACAAAAAATAAACAACCAGATTTGATCACATGACAAGTCACATTAGGACAGGGTTAAAGTGAGACGATAAACTCCCTCCAAGGCACTGAGATACAGCTTTACTTACATCTCCCCTGTGTGTCACTGGGTTGGTTATTTCTACCCAATTCACGGTTGTGAAAAACGCGTCATGGTCGTGAAAATCTGGTCTCCACTGTGAAATCTGGTCTTTTGTGTACTACTACCCTATACTATATAGATTTCACAGGGTAGACCAGCATTTCTCAAACTGGGGGTCCCGACCCAAAAGGAGGTTGAGGGCGGGGGTTACAAGATTATTGTAGCGGGATCATGGTATTGCCACCCTTACTTCTGCGCTGCTTTCAGAGATGGGTGTCTGGAAAGCAGTGGCTGCTGGCCAGGTGCCCAGCTCTGAAGGCAGCACTGTCAGCAGCAGCACAGAAGTAAGGGTGGCAATGGGCAGTCGGAGAGTGGTGGCTGCTGGCCAAGGGCCTAGCTCTGAAGGCAGCAGCACAGAAGTAAGGGTGACAATACCATACCATCCTTATTTCTATGCTGCTGCTGGCAGTGGCGCTGTCTTCAGAGCTGGACTCCCGGCCAGCAGATACCGCTCTCCGGCCACCCAACTCTGAAGGCAGTGCTGCGGCCAGCAGCAGCGCAGAAGTAAGGGTGGCAATACCACAACCCCCCTACAATAACCTTACAATGCCCCCACTACCCCCTTTTGGGTCAGTACCCCTACAGTTACAACACTGTGAAATTTCAGATTTAAATATCCGAAACATGAAATTTATGATTTTTTAAATCCTATAACCATGAAATTGGCCAAAATGGACTGTGAATTTGGTAGGGCCTTGGTTAATTCCTTTCTCTGAGCAGGTCTGTACAGCAGAGTTAACTCAGGGGATCAGTACCCGGGTTGGCCTAATTCAGGTGTGAACAGTCACACTGCAGAGCCATACGAGAGTTGCTGTGTCTACAGTGGATGGATTCACCCATGTGAGATGCTAAGACTTCTGGCGGAACATCCTATGGTTCTCTGTGCTGCACCAAGCTGAGCTGCTCTAATTCTTTCCCAGTGAATTGTGGGAGAATCTGACAATCCCGGGCACACTGGGAGAATTGTGGGAAGGCGCTGGAGGACTATCTGCACTTGAGAGGTTTAGCCTGTGTCCTCACTGCAAAGTAGGTATGTTACCAACCTGGGTCAAAGTGACACCCGGGCTTAAGCCTACAACCCAGGATGGATCAGCTAGACCAGGTGGAAAGCATTATCAGGCTTGGGTGAGAGGTCTGAGTTTTCAGCTGGGAGGTGGATTAGGGACAACATGTGAGTAAGAGCCCGGGTTAAATCAGCAGTTCAGCACTTTGTCAGAACTTCATGACTTGTTTCCTGTTGCCCCCAATCTAATCTCTTCAGGTCCCATTGAAGCTTGGCTTTGACGCCATTGTGTTTCTTCCCCCTCCACTGTGGTATTGTCTGCAAATTGTTCACAATTATATTCCCCTTGAACACCCAACGAAGAATAAGGCTTGATGATAAACTTCACCTCCAGAGCAACAGCCCAAACAAGCAAAGGCATGAGAGGGAGCTCTACTTGAAGAGCAACACATACTGAGAGACTGTCTTGTTTCACTTGATTGCCTCTATGATGCAAGCAGCCCCAGGATCCACTTGGAGAAGCTATATGGACCAGCACCAATCTGCAGACCAAACTTTAGAAACACCATCATCATACCTAGCTGTACACGCAGCCATGCAGTGCACTACTGGTGGACTGACAGACCCATATTAAACAGCAACTTATTCATAACATTTATTCCACAAACATCACCCTCTTCTGCTTGAAGAGCATCTGCAAACAGGTTAAAGTTTTCCCAGATTTGTCCATTGTTTCATGAACGTTGTGTGCATACACATCATAGTCTATGGATTGCTTAAAAATGGTCCACTGCAAATATCTGCTGTACATGATATACTTCTATTTTTCCTCTATAGAATGGATTATGTAACAAAGGATTTTCAAAACTGTCTGAGGGATCTGGATGCCCAATTCCTATTAGAAATTAATAGGCATTGACACTCTCATTCTTACTGTACTTAGTGGCCTTCTATTTTTTGTCACCACCACAGTCATGATCACAAAGTAATTGTATGAACATAGCCATGTATTGGCAGCGAGTCTGTATATGAAGCACATGCACCTCTCAAAGAGAAAAAACAAAACTTTAGAGCTTTGGAATGTCCTAGCTGTCTTGCAGTGGAATGGAATCCAGCATACAAGGTGTTGTTAGTAAATCATACAAGGTTGCAGTAGCAAACATTGTACAGGGAGGGTCAGTACAGTATCTGAGGAGAGCAATAAACATTAATGAAAACATTAAAATGGGCCCAGGGGCTTGCCTGGTCTTAACCATTCAAACCCACTGGCTTTGCCCTTTGACATTGGCCATCCTACCACCTACCAGCTCTTGCAGGAGCTTGTTCATTTCCTCCTCATACGCAGCTTGCCGAAGGCTAAGGGTATCTTGATATTGCTGCTCTGTCCGTGAGAGCTGCTGTGCCATATCCTCCCGCTCCCGCTCCATTGTGGACCTCTCTGTTTCCAGCTCACAACGAAGGCACTTCACTTCTCCTGCAGAAGAAGAGACATAGCAAGAGTTTGAACCCCTCTCACTTCCTTGAGCTATTAAGTGCTCAGCTGCACCATGCCAGGGCCTTCTCTGTCCCAGAGAGTGAAAGGGCCATGTCCATCTCTCATTCCCCAGAGGCCCCTCTGCCCCATCCACGGAAGGGGCATCTCCGGTGGGCTGTGCTTCTCAGCTTCTTACCTTGTATCACCTCTTTGGCCTGGATGACTGTTTGAACGTTGATTTCCAACTGACCCCTAGTGACCTCCAGCTGAGACACCTGCTGCTGAGCCTCGAACAGGCTGGATTCTAAGATCTCCTTTGCTGATCTACAGGATATAAATACAGAGCAATAATGAATCTCTTGCACTTGCAGTGTAGCTGTAGTCATGTCAGTCCCCAGATATTAGAGACATAGTGGATGAGATAATATCTTTTATTGGACCAACTTCCGTTGATGAGAAAGACAAGCTTCTGAACTTACACTGAGCTATTCTTCAGGTCTTGGATTCTGTACACAGAATGTCACAGCTATATATATGGTGGAACACATTGTTTATCATAAGTAGTTAACACATATTTCAAGGGGCCATTCCAGGTAAAGTGAAGTTAATGGGCCACTTCCATGCAGTCCATTTCCATGCTGATGACACCACTCCCAGAACTCCATCACCTCCCAGCACAGTGGAGATGATCAAGTGCCTCTCTGCTTGTTTATATAGTAATTGCCGAAGTGTTGTCCATCAGGACCTACACTGTGGCATTTTGGAGGACTGATGGGAATGCTATCCAAACCAGTTTGATGGCTCTCGGTTCAAAAACGTTTGTGTGGCGCTTGAGATCATCCTGGGACCACAAGCCTAGCATTTGCAGGTGGTGTAAGTGGGCCCCCTACCTTGTCCCTGACAAATCTGTGACCAGTGTCATTATCATGGAGGGGGCCATTGATGACTTCAGTGCCAGGGTTGATACTAGTGCCAATGCTGATGCCGGCGCCAGGTCAGCTTCGGTGCCTCTTTTTCTGCAGAGGTCTTTAGAGTTGCCTGCCTGCTAGATGGAGTGCTGAAAGATGTGGGTTTGGCCATCGAAAGGGTCTTCAAGCTTGGCTTTTCTGGATCAGATGCCACTCTCATAGATTGCTCCAGAAGATGGAGTTTCAGCCTTGTATCCCTTGACTTGCAAGTTCTTGCAGAGAAGAGGCAGACAGAGCACTGGCTTGGGACATGAGACTTTCTCAAAGAGAATAGGCATCTGCAGGGCCCATCTTTCAGAGGAATTAGCTCATTGCAGGGCAGACAAGGCTTAAAGCCTGTGGGTTTTGAATTTCCCATTCTAGGAGCCTATGCAGGGGGCCCTTGTATGGGGGGGGGCCTGGACACCAGGGTCTGCAGGCAGCTTTTGGTTCAACAAGTGCTAGAACAGACTATGGAACAAAAATAAATAATGAAGATGGTTCTGAGGAATCTCAGAAGATTTGAAGGACTTTTTTTTTTTTTTGTAGAAATTTAGCTGGAGCTAAAGTCCATGGGTCTGATACCAGCTAAGTTCTGTCTCACTGCCAGAAGCAGTAAGAGGGAACTGTGTGAGGGTTGTGGACACCCTGGCCTTTATAGCCTCATAAAACAGCATTGCGGCAGTACAGGATGCATGCGTAGCCTCTAATTGACAGTGCTCTTCAAAAATATCTGGTTCTGTGCACAAGGGCACAGCGCACCTAGTGTGGGGTCCACACTGACGCATACACAAAGAACAGCTCTGAGTATCAAAAGCTGTAAGGAGACCGTAGTCAATACCAGAGAACTGCTCTGGATGGATAACTGCTATTACACAGAATCCAAGAATTTCTGTGCACTGATATGATGGATGTGTGAAACTAGATGTCTTTGACGTCAAAAGCCACAAATCAATCTCCTGGACTCAGGGAAGAAATCTCAGAAGTCAAAATCACCATACAAAATTTGAACTTTCTGATGTACTCATTTAGTTTTTGAAGATTCAATATGGAACAAAGACGTCTGCTTTTTGGAAACAAGCACTGGTGAAAGATCACTTCTATAGCTCCTAGACTGAGGAATGATGGGACTATATCCCTTAGCACTTTCTCCTGACAAGGATGCCCGTAAAGGGATCAGAAAGGGAAACTGAATGCAAATGAATGGCATAACCTGATTCTACTATCTCCAGGACCCATTAATAACTGTACTCTGTGCTTCAAGGAAGAAGGAAAGTCAGTCCCCAAACAGAAACCCAGAAGGAAATTACTCCAGAATGGGAAGTGAGCCAACATCCCCTGGGAGCCCCATTTGATTTGTAGTGTGGAGGATTAAGATGCAGCTGTAGAAACAGCAGCAGCTCTTGCTGTCTTCTCTGAAGTGCTTTGACTTCTGCCTATCAAAGGATCTTTGTAACCCACCCTATCACCTGTTGTGACTGATGTTCACATTGGCAAAGGAAGGGAGCTGGTCTCGTCTAATAACGACTATATAAACCTACAGATTGCTAGTTTTTCCATTGTCTCATCAGTTTTCATACTGAAAAGGTTTGGTCCATCAAACAGAAAGTCCTCTGCTTTAGCTTGTACATTGATGAAGGGTGAGTGGTAGTCCTGATGAGGGAGCAAAAAGCTGTCTGAATCATTGTACAGAGCTCTAAGCTCAAGATTCAGAATCTTCTGTCATCTGGACACAATGGATTTGGATTTGGTTGCAGTCTCCTCTGGAACTGTTCCAGGAAAGGCGGAAGTGAATCCCAGAAGAAAAAATTTTAACTTGGAAATAGAGCCTGATAAATTGCAATACACATTTCAGCATGGCATCACCCAATATAGATCCTGGGCATACAGAAGATGGAGTAAATCCAGAACTCAGGCTTGTTCCAGGAAGTCCTTATTTATCAGAATAGCTAAATTAACCCTATTCTTGAGTTTCATAATGTCAAAAGTCAATTATATTTCTCTAGCATGACTGACAACTCAAAGTCAAAGGCATCACCAATATAACCTAGCCATTTCTGGAAGCTTCTAAAAATCACCTAGAAGGGATGAAGAACTATTTCTAACCACTTCACAAGAGAGGCAGAAGATGGAACAGCTTGTTCTCTAGGTCCAGTAACTATCTCTTGTTTTTCTACAAGATAAACTCTAGAGATTATTTTGGGGAAGTTCTATGACCTTTGTTACACAGGAGGTTGGACTAGATGTGTGAAATTCTATACCTTGGGAGCACCCTGTATCCCCCATATTCTTTATTTATATATAATTGTGATATTGCTATAAATCAGGCCATGTGAGGTATCAGGAGAAAGATTATGATCTGCTGAAAGTCACTGTTCTATCTAAATATGTATATCATTGGCACATATGAAGTTATGAGATTGTGTTGTATGGTTGTCACTAAAACCTGGTATAAGTTGGGGAACTGACCAAACGTTAGCTACCTAGAGACTCTGAGACAACAGCAAGGAAAGTAACCAATGCCCGGGCGGGTGTCGAACAACCATCAACAGCCATTGTCCAGCAAGGGAGCTACAATGCAATGACTCACCTGCATGAGGCCACACCAGGGAAATTGTTCAACCTTGCCTGGGGACTCAGCAATGCCCACCAGATATGCCTGGTCTTGTGTTCTCCAAGCACATGGGACTAAAGGTCTAAAACAGAACACAGTGGCCCAATACCTGGCCTTTCTCCTTCCCCCACCTATGCTGCAAGCAACAAGGACACTCAGAAGACTGAAGACTCCAACAGAGGAGACTGGCCCAAATTTCTAGGGAAAAACCGATGTACTATGAACTGCAATATCCAGTGGGGTGATATCTTAATCTAGATGTTGCCCAATCTAATAGGGTTGAGAGTTTAGATTGCGTGCTTTATTTTCTTTGGTAGCTAACTCTGACTTTTTGCCTATCACTTAAAATCTATCTTTTGTAGTCAATACATTTGTTTAACTGTTTACCTTTACCAATGAGCTTGCCTGAAGTGTTTGGTAAATCTGCTCAGGTTTACAAAGCTGGTGTATATGCACTTTCCATTGATGAAGTGGTGAACCAATTAATAAATTTGCATTGCTCAAGAAAGGGTCTCGAGCAGTGCAAGGCAGTATATTCCTGAGGTACAAGGCTGGGAGCTGGGGGGATTTGGCTGGTGCCTTGCTCTGTGTGATTCATGAGTGGCTCTGGAAGCATTCATGCAATCTAGCTGGGTGTGGGGCTCCACATGCCATTGTGCTGAGTGATAACAGCGCCTGGAGGGATTTGCTACATGTCACTTGCAAAGCATTGTGAGAGACAGCTCAGGCTGGAGAGTTAAGGGGGCACTGCGGTCCCACCATCCCAGGTTGCACCCTGGGATCCCGTCACAAGATGATCACAATGGTCCCATCTGGCCCTGGAATCTATGATTCTCCTGTTCCTCTTCATAGAATCATAGAAGATTATATTTAGAAGAGACCTCAGGAGGTCATCTAGTCCAACCCCCTGCTCAAAGCAGGGTCAACCCCAACTAAATCATCCCAGCCAGGGCTTTGTCAAGCCGGGCCTTAAAAACCTCTAAGAATGGAGATTCCACCACCTCCCTAGGGAACCCATTCCAGTGCTTCACCACCCTCCCACTGAAATAGTTTTCCCTAATATCCAACCGAGACCTCCCCCACTGCAACTTGAGACCTTTGCTCCTTGTTCTGTTATCTGCTACCACTGAGAACAGCCTAGCTCCATCCTCTTTGGAACCCCCATTCAAGTAGTTGGAGGCTGCTATCAAATCCCCCCTCACTCTTCTTTTCTGCAGACTAAATAAGCCCAGTTCCCTCAGCCTCTCCTCCTAAGTCATGTGCCCCAGCCCCCTAATCATTTTTGTTGCCCTCCACTGGACTCTCTCCAATGTATCCACATCCTTTCTGTAGTGGGGGGCCCAAAACGGGATGCAATACTCCTTTTCCTCACATTGGAGCACAGGACTGGAAGGGACCTCCTGAGTCATCGAGTCCAGTCCCCTATTATTGAAGGCAACCACATCACCTAATCTCAGTCATACATTTATCAAGAGCTATCTTAAAATTAACTGGGTTTCTTGCCCCCGCAACTCCTATTGAAAGACTGCTCTAGAACCTCATTCCTCTGATGGCTAGAAACCTTCTTTTAATTTCCAGCCTAAATCTATTCATGGCCAGTTTATACCCATTTCCTCTTGTGCCAACCTGTCCTTTAGTTTAAACAGTTCCTCTCCCTCCCTGGTGTTTACCCCCTAATTTATTTATAGAGAACAATCAGATCCCCTTTCAGCCTTCATTTTGCTAGGCTAAACAAACCAAGCCCTTTGTCTCCTCTCATAAAA